CAGGCGATGTAGGAAAATAGGTAGAAACATAGGCAAGTGAGAGAAGACTTGAATGATATTAAAAAACTGAACTGAGGAGCCTAGAAAGAGAGAAACCATTCATTCTGGCAAGAAATTTGAGAAAGTTCTAGGTTGACCCCTAAAAGAAAGGAGTTAAGTTTAGAAACAAATTAGAGGAAATTATAAGTGAGCTTTGATTATTTAGAGACGATGAAAGTGTTCTTTCTAAAGGAACTGGCCATAGTAAAACAAAAACAAAAACAAAAACCTCCTTAACCCCTAAAGAAAAAAAAAAAAACTGGACGGTGTAAATTATACATAAAATCTTATAAATCAGTCAAGGATACTAGAGAAATAAGAAAACCATACAGATAAAATAGAAATATATATTTCAGTATATATATGTATATATACATACACACACACACACACACTGAAAAGGAGCTGATGACTCATAAAAAAATTAAATAATGGCAAGATTTTTCAATTATAAGAGTTAAGGAAACATGTTTTCCAACTTATAGAGGGAGGAAAGTGATTCCATAACATTTAAACTAGTCAGGTAAATTTTAATTCTTTCAGTAGGCACTTTAAGAAAAAGATAGTATTCTCAAACCTCATAAAATTTGCAGAATGTGGGCTGTTACTCTGAATCTGACTTCCAAGTACAATATTAGCATAACTAAAGGGAGGAAAAATTAAGTTTTCAAGAATGAAATAGAGTTTAGGGAAAAAATAGGCTTCCCAGATTTAAGAAATTGTCAGCCAAGATATCCAGTTTTTTTTTTTTAATTTTATTTATGTTGTGTTAATCACCAAACATTACATCATTAGTTTTTGATGTAGTGTTCCATGATTGTTCGCATATAACACCCAGTGCTCCATGCAGAACATGCCCTCTTTAATACCCATCACCAGGCCAACCTATCCCCCCACCCCCCCTCCCCTCTAGAACCCTCAGTTTGTTTCTCAGAGTCCATAGTCTCTCATGGTTTGTCTCCCCCAATTACATACTCCTACAAATTGATACTATGTTAAAAATTGAATTCCAGAACTAATTCACACCCATGTTTTCTATTCAATTGCTAAGCATGTATCTGGTCCTTCCCATGTATTAACCAATGCACTAAGTAGACAAAGAAATTTATAAATTGTCAAGACTGCCTACAAATCAAATATTGGACCCCACCATTATTTTTTGCATGTGGGGCAACAGCCAATACTGTTACTAATTGACTTAGATATCCAAAGAGTGTGGAGAGATGATGCATGCCTTAAAAAGATTTCATTGAACCTGTGAAGTTTGATATTGTTCCCAAGTAATGGGAAAGTATTGTTTATATTATCCTTAGAGGGGCTCATATAGAACCTGTTTCGCCCTAGGCTGTCAGAAGTGAGGGTGGGAGGGTTGGCTGATACTGATCCTCCTTAGCACAGACACAAACATGACTGAGCCTTTGATAACAGCAATGGCTCCCAAGGGACTGTTTGGCCAAAAGAAATCTCTGGTTGTCATTGCAGGATGGTGGTTGTAAGTGGGGTGCCTATCACACTTAACATTTTTTCTTCCATCAAACTCATACCGCATACTCATAGATCAAATTCAAATCCATTTCTTCCTTTTTGTTGTTTATACTGACTTATACCCTCTTTTATCAGTTTAATTTTCTGCCATACTATCATGAATCCAAAGCTAACATTCCCTTCAATGGTCAATTTGCTTCATTTCAGAGCAAAAGTTTCCCTATCCAGTGTCAGTGATGGATCAATCTATCTACACACTTTCTTTTTTCCCATTAAAAAGCCATGTCCACATATTTTTTTTACTTTTGTCCAAATCTTGTAATAGGAGGCTACATTTCTTGATAACCAGAGATGTTAGGAGTTTTTTCATCAAATGTAGGGGTTGGGAATAAAACAACCAGGGTGATATGTGGAAGATTATTGGAGTCTTAATGAATAACTCGCTAACTCTGTTCTGCACCCATCTTCAATATATATGGAAACGAGGTGGAAAGGAAATGATTTTCCTTATTCTGATCTCTGGGAAGGTTTTCCAAAATTTATTACTCTGTTCCCTCATAATTTGGAATCATTCTAACATTTTTAAGATGTATTTCTCATAACGTAACTTAAGAGTTCTCCTTGTCGGGCGCCTGGGTGGCTCAGTTGGTTAAGCGACTGCCTTCGGCTCAGGTCATGATCCTGGGGTCCCTGGATCGAGTCCCGCATTGGGCTCCCTGCTCAGCGGGGGGTCTGCTTCTCCCTCTGACCCTCCCCCCTCTCATGTGCTCTCTCTCATTCTCTCTCTCTCAAATAAATAAATAAAAAATCTTAAAAAAAAAAGAGTTCTCCTTGTCAAAAGTGCAATTTTGGACATTATGAATGCTATTGTAAAAAAAAAAAGATAAAAAAGATAAAAGACTCAATCTCAGGAAACAAACTGAGGGTTGCTGGAGTGGTGGGGGGTGGGAGGGATGGGGTGGCTGGGTGATAAACATTGGGGAGGGTATGTGTTATGGTGAGTGCTGTGAATTGTGTAAGACTGATGAATCACAGACCTGTACCCTGAAACAAATACATATGTTAACAAAAAATTTTTTTTAAATAAAATGTATTACAATAAAAAAAAAAAATCAGTAAATGCCTAAGTGTCCTGGACACAAGGGTTGCAAACAGAAAAATGTTGAAAGTAATCTCAGCAAGAACAAGGGTGGAACTGAGCAAATTAATTGATGAAAGCTTAGTATAAAAGATATAATTCTGAAATTATATGTATGCTTAAGAATATTTCAATGTGTGGGAAGAGTATTTTAATGGTGCTTCTTTTTATAATTGGATACATTTACATTCAGTTCTGCACTGGAATGAAATGAGAAGCCCTGTAATTTTGTAGCATCTAAAGTTCACAAAACATTCAAAAGTACCGTAAATAGAACCCTGTTATTTTTGTCTCACAAAAATGTTTATAGAGGGCGCCTGGGTGGCTCAGTTGGTTAAGCGACTGCCTTCGGCTCAGGTCATGATCCTGGAGTCCCTGGATCGAGTCCCGCATCGGGCTCCTTGCTCGGCAGGGAGCCTGCTTCTCCCTCTGACCCTCTCCCCTCTCATGTGCTCTCTCTCATTCTCTCTGTCTCAAATAAATAAATAAAATCTTAAAAAAAAAATGTTTATAGAAGACGGGTACTCTGAAGTGAGGCAAAAAATACAGTGCCTTTGAAAATATTTTAGCTGAAATATTTATATGTTTTAATACAAAAAAATTTAGAAAAAAAAACAAAAAAAATTAGAATTGAAAATATTTTCTATCTAGCAAAATTTGCCCCTGCAGAGAGAATAATTTCTTAATTTGAAACAGGATCTATAGAGAAAGTCCATGGAAAGTTGGCAACAATTTCAAAGTTTTTAGCTATAAACTGCCTCTTGGAAGAAAACTGATGACAGTATTATGTAAAATAATTCTTGTCATCTTCTGTGGAGAGATGCTCTACTGAGTAAGGGTTTGGTACGGCAGCTATCTGAAGTCACCACGTCTGGCTACTCCTGTTCTTCTGTACCTTCTGTTAAACAGAAGTGGGGCATCTCTCCCTAAAAGCTATGGGTCCCACCTTTGTTCCAGGGAGCAGAGAGCTGAGCCTCTTCGTTAGTGTTCTCAGGTCCATTCTACCCAGCAGAGTCAGCAAAATCCTCAAGTCATCCATCCCGCAGAAGCTACATTACACAGCTTATTTTCCTGCAGCTTTGTGAGCACCTGGAAGGCAGCGTAAGGGGGAACCACACCTAAGGTGGAGTCTGAAGACTCCCGTGTTCACATCATCACGTGTGTAATGGTACATAACCTATGCTTCGTACTGGGTCTTTATTTTTTACTCTAATTCTGGAACTAAAAAAAATGTCCTTTCTTGGCCCACATTTATTCTAAGTTTTGATTTTTTTTAAATCTCTTGTTAAATTTTCTGTCAACAAAGGTTAATTTTGTGTTGTTTTCCTAAGAATGACCCTAAAGCAATGACAGAGGTCTTTTACAAAGATATTATTCCTCCCTCTTCTTTTTCCACCAATTTTTGCCTGGAGAACACAAAGGGACTAGAAAGGGAAGAAGGAGAAAAAGGCTTTTTGATTGCTTTTGGTAGACAAAAGATGAGTTTCTCCATGGATTGCAGCTGGGTCGAAGAATTTTTCTGACTCATAGCAGATGAAAGATAGTAGGAGATCTTAGGAAATATTGATGTGGAAGTGGTCTGAGAGGCTGATTTATCTCGGGGGACCTGATTAAAATTCTATCCATTCATTTGAAGGAGCCATAAAAGAGATGATTGCTAGAAGCCTGGCCTATCAGTCCCAGCTGTCAGACCATCCTTGACGCCAAATCTCTGGGAGGAATATTCGTACCCATCTTCTCAGTATCCCAAGCCCCATGCTATGACAAATGGCTCTACCACAGTATTAAATATAACTTTTTCTCCTGTTGCTGTTTCAGCCCGTAGCTTACCATTTGATCTCCTTCCTTTCTTTACCAGCAACTTAGACTTTTACAGAGATGAAGTGAAGTTATACATGTATATGTGTATTTAACTTTTTACTTTGTAATATCAACTTGCAAGAATAGATACTTAGAGGTTTACAGAACTTCTTACCTAGAGGTGGAGGTATTGTAAGTAAGTGCTGGGTAAGAAAGGGGGTGGGGATGGGTGGGAGTAAAGTTCCAGAGAACATGAGGGTATTCTCTGTTTTGGACAAATGGTCTAGGAAAGAGGTCCTTGGAAGGGGATAAGTGGAAAGAACAGAATGCACTCATGCCAAAAATAAGAGGATAATGGCATTTTAACCCCAGGTTGGGATAGTTGGATAATGACAGGGAAGAATGGTTATTCTACTCAGAGAGGAATGTGGGCTGAGAGTGGGGCTATCTGTGGCCATCAAAATCATGTCCACAGCAGTAGGGGAGTGAAAACTTGAGAGAAATGCATACTGGAACTTCTTCTGTGTTTTGATCCTAGATAACTTCGAGTTGGCTTTAACGGAGTAATCACATCACTAAGGTGGGTATACCATAATTTAAAAAAATGGACACAAATAAGCTAATTTCTCAAATTTTGTAATATCTTTGCCTAATCTAGTAGCAACAGAGCATCACTTTCATTAGAAAATTGTTTATACTATAAATGAGAGCAAGGAAATGGGTCAAAACCAGTGAAGAAGAGAATAGATAGGAAGATAGAGATGGTTCAAAGACCCAGGCAAAAAGTGAAGACATAAGACACAGTAGCAACAACAAACGAGACTGCATCAGCCTCCCACCAGGACCTGTCCCCCTTAACTTGGAGTGCTGGCTACACAGCAATCCATCCACTCACTGTGTAGACACACATACAACCTGTCATGGACTGAGTCGGTGAAGCAGATATGCTTGCCTGATGCCAGTGGTCTCCTTGAAGCTTTAGAGCCTAGGCAAATTCTGCTATAGAGGTAGAAGGGGTGTAGAGGAATAGGGGATCTGAGGTGTGAAGTGGAGCTCAAGGTGCTTCCTTCACAGAGAGAAGAATTATAAGATCTACTATAGTTGAGCTCAGGATAAGTGCTGTATAGTATTGCACTTTTACTTTGTAGATGTTAAAAAAAAATTCTACTTTTTGAAGTAATGGTGTCAAAAGCTGGTAAACGTCATAAAAAGCAGTGTGGTATAATACAGAATAACTTGGAGTCAGTTTACCTGGGTTCCAGTTTTAGTTTTTCTACATTCTATATGACTTAAACCCTTTGTTTACTTAATTTTCTCTCTAAATTAGAGAGAACATGAGCTTTTACTAAATTACAAAATTGAAAGTCTCAGTTCAAATGTTTCCAAATATCCATTACTTGGTATTTGTCATGCAAACTTTAAAAATTACAGTAATTGTGATCTTTCTCAACTATTATAAGAAAAAAAAATCTCATCTCTGAAATAAACAAAAAAAACCACCTTTAGATTAGGAAGAGGAATAATCTCCCCCAAGGGTTGTATTGGGTTCCTCTTTCTTCTCCCTTCATTCCACTGTTTTTTTATTATTATTATCAATTGATATGCTGCTCAAATTTATGACATCGTTGATGTCCAAAGAACTGGTCCTCTTTTAAAAGTCTTTTATTTATTATTTATTTGGCACACATGTTTCATATTGACTCATCCACTGCTATCTGGATTTTGATGTTAGCTTCCCAATAATATGCAAAGTGTTTTTAAAATTTAGAATCAAAAAGGTACAGGATGATTTTTTTTTTTCTGGTAGCTTTGCATGTGAGATCATCCTGGATTTTCCGGTTTGGGCACCAAATCCAATAACAAATGATGGTATAAGAATGACACAAAGGGAGATGAGACACAGGAAGGAGCCAACAGGCTCTTGGTGGCAGAGAGTGGAGTGATGCACCTGCAAGTCATGGACCGCTGACACACCAAACGCTCCCTGAAGCCTGAATACCACATTAGCACAAACTTGGTGGCTTACCACAACACGGTTATCACTTTCCATTACTGTAGTCAGAAGTCTATCACGGGTCTCACTGCACTCATATCAAGGTGTTGGCAGGGCTGCTTGCCTTTTGCAAACTCTGCAGGAAAACCCATTTCCTTGCCTTTCCCAGCTTCCAGAGGCTGCCAGCATTCCTTGGTGGAGGGCTCCCTTCCCCCATCTTCAAAGCCAGCAATGGCAGACTGAGTTCCCAAGCTGCCTCCCTCTGACATCCTCTTCTACTTCAGTGACCCCTGTGATCTGTTGTGCTCACGTGGATAATCTCCCTTTTTTCAGCTGATTACCAATCTTCATTCCATCTGCAACCTTAATTCCCCTTTGCCATGTAATGTCATGTATTCACAGCTTTGGGGAATGAAGACATGGGCGTCTTTGACCATCTTTACTTCTGGCTAACATTCTAAAATTACTCCAAATTATTTTTAGGTTCTCAGTCACCCAAATAGGCATGAACGCTTCCTTTCCTACTCCCTAGTTTTGAAAGGTATTCTTCTTGTGTCCTTCCATAATAATCACTGGTGTCCTGATCCCTGCACATATCAGACTGCATTTAAGTCAGTTCTCTGTACTTTCCTACTACCTGGAAAATCCCCCCCTTCTAATTTTTATTTTTTTTATTTTTTTATGTTTTATTTATTTATTCATGAGAGGTCAGAGAGAGCAAGCGAGAGAGAGAGAGAGGCAGAGGCAGAGGGAGAAGCAGAGCCCGATGTGGGACTCAATCCCAGGACCTTGGGATCATGACCTGAGCCGAAGGCAGATGCTTAACCATCTGAGCCACCCAGGCACCCCCTAATTTTTAAATATTAAACTCCTTCAGAAAGCTTTTAATCTTCTTTAAGAAATAAGCAGTTCTAAATTCTTACTCTATAGGGGTGTGTGAGAGATGCTCCCTGCTTGTTAACCACCAAAGGCAGAAGTGTGGTCAGCATTGAAAGAGACCACATTTTAGGAACAGACTAAGGCCATTAATAGACTAAAGACTTCTGAGAAGACTTGAAAAAAAAAAAAAATGGTCTCTGGACATGAACAGGGGAAAAAAATGGTGCCAGCGCACCAGAGACATTCTTCACACGTACTGATTGGACAGAAGTACATAGATTAGTCCCTCTTCTGTACCCATTATTCTCAATGTTATCACTAAATTACCATTCCTCACACTTATTTTTAATACATTTTTAACCAGATTATTCATATAAGCAGAGATCTTGGAAGGAACACCGTAGGGATGTCCCTGACTAATTAGGTCAGTTTCCTCTTACCTCACATGAGCGATCATATTTGACAGCCTTTGTTTTACTTCATTTCTATAATATTTGCTGCTTATGCAGACTTTAATAAGCTATTCCTTTCAACTGTAGGCTTCCATCCCAAATCTAATGGAGGGAGGATGTGCTGTAGGGGGCAGCAACTGATCCTCTCTCATTCTAGTCAGCCAGTATCTCTTCCAGCAACATACTGGATTTTCCCTCTTTACCAGAGATTATAGGTTATATTCATTTTCATGGTGAAAATATAGATGGGTACGTCAGCTGGATTGCTGTGGCACAGAAAAGAGAGTGTAATTCTCACGCATCCGGGTTGTATCTTCTAAATACAGAATTAAAGAGCCAACAAGACAACATAAAGAAATGGAATCATCTAAAAGTACTCCTCACCTCAAAATCTCACTGTTTTATTTCAAATTTTCTATGAGTCTCTTCTGAGTGGTCAATTTAAAGTTCATGTTAGGGGCACCTGGGTGGTTCAGTTGCTAAGCATCCAACTCTTGGTTTCAGCTCAGTTCATGATCTCAGGGTTGCGAGATCAAGCCCCGCTTCTGGCTTCATGCTCAGCACAGAATCTGTTGGAGATTCTCTCTCCCTCTCCCTCTGCTGCTCCTGCTCATGCTCTTTCTCTCAAATAAATTAATAAATCTTTAAAAAAAGAACAAAGCTCATGTTAAGTGACAATATATGTATGGGTAAAGAAATGCTCACTAGCTGCTATAACAGATAAACCCCAAAATATTGCTGGCTTAACACAATAAATTTTACTTCTTGGGGCACCTATGTGGCTCTCAGTCGGTTAAGTGTCTGCCTTCAGCTCAGGTCATGATCCCGGGAGTCCAGGGATCGAGTCCCACATTGGGCTCCTTGCTCAGCAGGGAGTCTCCCTCTCCCTCTGCCCTTCTCCCTGCTCATGTTCTCTCTCTCAATGAAATCTTTAAAGAAAATTTCTCTGATATGTTGTTGGTTAGTAGCTCTACTTTCCTATCATCCAGTAGGACTCAAGCTGGCAGAGGTTGTGATTCCTACAATATGGCTTCTAAGGTTACCTTTAATGGTATCTTCCAGATTGATAATGGAGGAGGAAGAGGGAGGACACAGAGGGAGACTGTTGTGGACCAGGCCTGTAAATGGTGTATATCATTTCTTCTCATGTTCCTTTTTAGTGAGAACTTGGGAGTATGGCCATACTCTCTGCAACTGCATTCCCAGGAAGAAAACAGATAGGTTTGATAAATGCAAATGTTCTTTGCCACAATGGGAAAGGTAAGAGATTTTTAATTGATACTCACACTTCAGTTCTAAATAATGTATCATATAAAAGCTAACAGAGGTAGGGGTTGTAAGAAAGTAGGTCTGAAGATTTAAGTTTGGTAGGAAATTTGGAGAAGTGATATCTGCTTAGGAAGTTTCTATCCCCATCCTCCTGTGACAACTCTGATGGGAGACAACATAAAGGTACTGAGCAGCTACAACAGGAAGATGATGGCAACATGGACAAGGAAGAATGGAAATGGGCATTGGAAGGTTTCTGAGATCGTTCTGGCCTTACTTTGCTAGGTACTCCCCCTTCTACAGGGAAGATGTAAGGAATTCCATATGATTGCAATGTCCATATAATACAAATCAGTGCTGCCTTAAATGGACAGAGGAATCAGCTTTGACTTCCCACTGATAAGGACTGCCATGAGCACTTAGAATGAGCCAGACAATTTGCTAAATGCTCTCCTTGCATTAGTATTTTTAGCTTTCACAACAACCTTATGAGGTAGTTCTAATTAGATCACTTATACAAAAATGAAAATCAAAATTCAGAATGCAGGTTTATAAGATCACCCAGCAGAAAGCTGTGGAGCTAGGGCTAGTCCCATGGTAGCGTTACTGCAAAGCCTATTGCTTCATCTTCTGATGCTATTGGGAAGATCAAAGCTGTAAGACTTCAATATAATCAGTAATGTGGAAATACACCTCACTAGGAAAATAGGAGGCTGTTTCTCTTAAGATTATTTACCTTAAGAAAGAACCTTTAAAATGTACATAGGTTGGGGCACCTGGGTGGCTCAGTCAGTTAAGCGTCTGCCTTCAGGTCAGGTCATGATCCCGGGGTCCTGGGATCGAGTCCCGCATCGGACTCCTTGCTCAGCAGGGAGTCTGCTTCTGCCTCTGCCCTTCCCCCTGCTCATTCTCTCTCTGTCTCTCTTTAAAAAAAAAAAAAAAAAAAAAAAGTACATAGGTTGTATTTAGCACAAATCAAATGCAAGTAGTTTATTTCACAGGAAATAGACTTGAGTACAATAACGAAACAAGGAAAGTTTTAGAAAAATCCAATATATTGAAACATCTTCATAATAACAAAGAAAAACTATGTATACTTAAAATTTACCAAGAAAAATTTATCACTCTGGAATAAGTATTTTCTATCCTTGTTTACACAGATATTCTTAAACTACAATATTAAGTGATGAAACCTATTTGGATGTGGAGTGATGGTGTCCTTAAACGAGTATCTTGACTGTTTTACTATACCTTAGCTTACAAAGAGGGAATGATGGAAATTGGTACATAGTTTCATATGAGCTACTTTTTTTTTTTTTTAAGATTTTATTTATTTATTTGAGAGAGAGAATGAGATAGAGCATGAGAGGGGGGAGGGCCAGAGGGAGAAGCAGACTCCCCACTGAGCAGGGAGCCCAATGCAGGACTCGATCCCGGGACTCCAGCATCATGACCTGAGCCGAAGGCAGTTGCTTAACCAACTGAGCCACCCAGGCGCCCCATATGAGCTACTTTTGTAAAATTAATCTTTATTAACATATTTAACCATGTCTACTTCCCAGAGCAGGTTCAAAATAATTATTTTAATTTTAAAAATTGCTTGTTTTTGCTAAGAGGACACTGCTTCCTTTTTTAATGAAAACAATGGTGGTATAACTGTACAGTGTTTTTCTCTCTTTTGTTTTAGACTGAAGGCAATTCAGAAGCAGCAGATACAAGAACTTCATGCCCTTCCCATATTTGCCTAAAGGCAGGGCATAGATTTATGAAGGTGCCCCCACTGGCCCCCTACCAGGAAGACAGAAGTTAATCACCAAAGACAACTCAAGAGATGGCACCAGAGGAATCTACATGATCAACCTGACTAACCCTTACCTTCCATTAATTTCCCCATATGTTTACTTTTCTACAATTTGTCACCCTTAGGAACACAGAGTCCTTTTCTTTTGTCTTACCACTTCCTGCAAATGTATTGTTCCTTTGTTAAGATGCTAGGTAAGTCCAGGTTCTAACCGCCCCTTTGAGATAGTCATCACTGGGCACTCCTGTGTGTCTGGGCTGTGCATGCATTAATAAAACTTCTGTTTGTTTTTTCTCTTGTTAACTTGTCTTTTGTCTCTCATTTGCAGTGCCCCAGCCAGTGAACCTAAGATGGGTAGAGGAAAAAAATATTTGTTTTCCTCCCCTTCCATTCAAAGACATAAAATTCAGGACGAGGTCTTCTGAACAAAATTAATTTTGTGGAAGACTAGCATGGTAATGAACTTTATTACCAGATACATCAAATAAAGCACGACTAGATAATTCAGAGAAGGTTGTGAGTAAAGCCATTAGTCTAAAATATAAGATCTCGGAAAAATGAAACCTTATTTACTTTGTTACTTCACAGAAAAAAGTAAAATGCAGGAAAACCAGAAAGATATATGACAGGGAAATTGGAAATGAAATTAAGGGTGAGAAAAAGAAAGAACATAAATGTTTAATCCAGATTGTTAAAGCCAGTGGGAGCATCTACAAACTAGGGCTGCCAGATAAAATACAGAAAGCTCAGTTAAATTTGAAGTTTATGTAATCCACAAATTAGGATTTTAATGTATGTCCTAAATATTTCATGGGACATACTTATACTTCAAAAATATATTTGTTGTTTATTTGAAATTCAAACTCAACTGGCCACTCTGTATTATTACCTGTTAAACCCAGCAACTCCAGTAAGAGTAAATCAATAACTGTATTTCACTTTGATTATTACTATTAAATGCTTACTTGCCACTTTTATATTTTAGTACAGTGTTGCGGTTTAACCTTCGTTTGTGATAATTTATTTCTGACTTCACTTGGTATACAGACCTTTCCAGACGTTGTTGTTACAGGATTAACATTTTGTGTAAGCGTTTAGTTAAATACTTGAGCTTGGCAGCTTCGAGAAGAGAGCACATAGTTTTACAATGTGTTATGCACAGATAATGTGTTTTTAATTGTGAATGTATTTATTGAAGGCAAAGGAAGTATTAAATGTGCTCTCATGGGTCAGTAATTGCAAATTGAGGAAGGCTCTTCCTAATCCTCACTTCTCATACTATTTTATTTCTCCTGCTTTTCTCTCTCGTCTCTTCCTGACCCCTGGATCTATGCCTCTCCGGCTCTCCTTGGCCTTCTATCCGCCAACAGCTAAGTCAACAACTGGAAACTCTTAGGTAAATTTACTCCACTGTAACCACCCTGTTGACCTTTTTTTTGGCTGTTTCTCATTTATGTAAAGTGGCCTGTAGTCAAAGCAATTATGGTCTCTAAAAATGCAAAACACTCAACTACAAATACTACAAATACTTGTGCTTTTTTGCTTCTCAGTAGAGGGGCTGATTACACTGTCTGTTGGTATAAAGTGTGGCAATGTACACAGAGAAAAAGACATGATAAACCACTTTATGGTAGGATTGCTTTTGAACTGTGCCCAGACCACGTTACAACAGAATAAAGTTGGAGTAAAAGAGCTCTTTCCTAAAAGTTGTCTATATGGTTAAAAAGAAAACCACATGGGCACCTGGGTGGCTCAGGTCATGATCCTGGAGCCCCAGGATGGAGTCCCATATCTGGCTCCTTGCTCAGCGGGGAGTCTGCTTCCTCCCTCTGCACCCCCCCCCCCACTTGTGCGCACACACACTCTCTCAAATAAATAAATAAAATCTTAAAAAGAAAAGAAAACCACAGGCCCCAAATGGAGTCACTTAGGTTCAGGTCCCATCGCAGTAAACCAAGGCTTAATACCTAATCTAACTTCAGTTTCAAACCATCCCTCCGTTGGGGCACCTGGGTGGCTCAGTAGTTAAGTGTCTGCCTTCCACTCAGGTCATGATCCCAGGGTTCTGGGATCAGGTCCTGGGATCAAGTCCCGCATCGGGCTCCCTGCTCAGCGGGAGGCCTGCTTCTCCCTCTCCCACTCCCCCTGCTTGTGTTCCCTCTTTTGCTGTCTCTGTCAAATAAATAAATAAAATCTTAAAAAAACAAAACAAACAAAAACCATCCCTCCCACCCCCGCAGGAATACAACCTTGAAAGGGGCCAAACTGGAATTTACTGGTCAACACGAGGAGATAATCCACCCCCTTCTGTTTCTCTTAGGAGGGTAACCTTGCCTAAAACAATATGTTCTTTGCTAATAAATTCCTTTTTTTTCCCCCCCCAGCTCCCTTTCTGGCTTTAAAAACCTTTCCTTTTCTACAGCTCAGCAGAGCTCCCCTTACTTGCTAGATGGGATGCTGCCTGATTCATGAATCATTTAAAAAGCCAGTTAGAGGGTGCCTGGGTGGCTCAGTTGGTTAAGCGACTGCCTTCGACTCAGGTCATGATCCTGGAGTCCCGGGATCGAGTTCCGCATCAGGCTCCCTGCTCGGCAGAGAGTCTGCTTCTCCCTCTGACCCTCCCCCCTCTCATGCTCTCTGTCTCTCATTCTCTCTGTCTCAAATAAATAAATAAAATCTTTAAAAAAAAAAAAAAGCCAGTTAGATCTTCAGATTTTCTCAGTTGAATTTTGTTTTTTAAAGCCATTCCCTGTCTCTACCACCACAGTTTCCAATCTCTTCTCACTCTCCATCCTTTCTACTCCACTGCCACCATTTTTTAAAATTTTTATTTTTTAGAGAGACGGAGAGCACATGTGTGGAAGGGGAGGGGCAGAAGGAGAGGGAGAAGGAGTGAATCTTACGTGGGGCTCGATCTCACAACCCTGAGACCATGACCTGAGCCAAAATCAAGAGTCAGATGCTTAATCAACTGAGCCACCCAGGTGCCCCAACCACTGCCACCGTATTAACAAGAATTTACTGGATCCTAAAATCCAAAGGATGCTTTTCACTTTTTATTTTTGAACTCTCTACAACATTTAATGCTATCATTCCTTCTTTCTGCAATTACCTCCAAATATCATACCCTAACAATACCTTTTCCTTTAAAATTTATGAATTAAAATTGCAAACGAGGCTTAAATAATAATGAGATGAACACCTAGGAGACCACCACCTATCTCGGGAGTTAAAACATGACAAATACATCTAAAACTTTCTGTATATTTCCTGACTGCAATCCCATCTCTCTCATTCCCCCAATCCTGTATTTGTTCAACTTTGATCACATTTGTATGTATCCTTAAATAAATTTTACTTTTGATTTGCACTTATTGAAATTATATATATGGAACTAAACTATTTCTCTATAGCAACTTTGTTTTATTGCTATTATTTTTAAGTCAATACTATGTGACATTTATTCATATTGGTACATACAACTCTAAAAAATTTTTTATAGCATATTCACTGTTTAAATATACTACTGTTGACTGCCCCCAAAGACCACCCCCAAAATCTGTTGATCAAGTAAGGTTTATTGGACTTACTTCAGTAAAGGAGAACTCAAGATTGACATTGTTTTAAAAGTGTTTCAGAAGGGAAAGCAAAGAATGATATTTACAGTTTTAGGAACTGGGCTGGAGGATTTTAGGGTGGGCCTTGCAAGGCAGAAAAGTTTGGGACTGGACAGGGTTTAGCATTATGTCCTTGGCCTTGGGGGCACAGAGTAGGGGTCTTAAAGAGAATCCTCATGAGTCTGAGTGTTGAAATGATAGAATCGTTAAGTTTTAAAAGCACATTACTTTAGATGATTCACGGTTTATTTCCAGGGGAAGTATTTCTCAGGGCAGGCTAACTTACTTTGCTTGTTCTCAATATCATTTAACAGGGCTATTGTTAATGTAGCTCACTTTTATTTAACTTTAGGGCAAGAAAGTATTGTTTAACTCGCCCTGATGCGATTCTGTCTAAATTCTCACCACAACTTTTTAAAAGTTTTAAAAAGTTTAAAACTTTATCAGTTGATTTTTTTCCAAGCCTACTATGAACAATTCTGTGATGCCATTTTCTACATGATTAAAACCTGGAAATATAATAGATGGTTATAAGGAATGTGCATTTTAAAATTGATAATTGAAAATTTGCTCAACAAACTGATTATAACTTAAATTCCCATTGGAAACAGAATTCTCTTTTCTCCACCCTTGCAACTGTTAGACTTTTTAAATTTTCCCCAAAGTTAAGTGATACTTTATTGTGGTTTAGTTTGCTTTCTTAGTTACCACTTGGTTTGTTCCCTGTCATATCTTTTGTCCACTATCCTACTGAGTCATTTGTTTTCCCCTATATTGATTTTACATGCCCTTGTAGTTTTATGGAAACCAAGTACTGTCTTAAGATATGCATTCCAATTTTTGGTTTGTCTTTTAATATATTTAGATTCCTATAAATATTTTTAATGCAGTAAAATTTATCAAGCTTTTCATTATAATTTATATTTTTTGGTCCCATTCAAGAAGTGTTTACCTACAAAGAAGTTATAAAGATACCCTTCTGCATTATTTTTTCTTCTCCTTTTACAGGTTGGCTTTAACATTTCAATCTTTAGTTGACCAGGAACTGATTTTTGTGTTGGGTATAAATCAGGAAGTGACTTCAATTTTGGTTCCCATATATAGGTGACTAGTTTCCTCAGAATAATCAAGAACATCTTTACAACTTTCTATCATATATCAAGCTTCTATATATGTGCTGTTCTACTTCAGGCTCTCAATTCTATTCCACTGTTCTATTTGTCTATTCCAGAACTGCACTACGTTTTCTTCATTAGGACAGTGCTATGATACTTTCATATTTGGAGAAGTAAATTTCCCACCCATTCTTTCAAGGGTGTCTGTTCTTTTTGTTTTTCTTTTCCATATAATTCTGGAGTCAGCCTAAGTTCTACAAAAACAAGAACAAAACCCAACAACACACAGATTTTAAAATCCTGTTGCCATTTTAACTGGAATTATGTGACACTAGATTGGTTTGGGAAGAATTGAGATTTTTTTTATGAAATCCAATCTCTCTATTCATGCAGATGAAATCTCTTGCTACTTTTTTGTGGCTGTATGTCGTAGGGACCATGAACATGCACTTCTCACTCTCTTACTGTAGAGGACATAGTGGATTGATGAAGGCCCCAGTTGCTATCCCTCTGGATCTATCACCACAGTGGGTGACATGACACTCGCCCCAGGCTGCTCCTAGCTGATGCT